AGGACATTTCAATCACTTCTAGTCTGTTCACCTTTAGTACTGCCAAGGTGTACTTAAACTAGCATTCCGAAATTGCGCAACTGTAAACGGACACCGCTTTGTGCTTATTACTTATACCTTCTTTAATCTGCTTTTGTTTTAAGTTAATAGTTCATTTTAAGTCATTCTATTCACCCTTTCATTTCTTTAATTCCTACCTAAAAACAACAGCAATTTTCTGCTACCCACCAGCTAATGTGTATTTTTGGCGGGAAGACACTTCACTCAACGGTCCGCTCATTTCATCCTTATTGTTGACTTTAAAGAAGTTCAAAGTAGGTCTGAACTTTTAAGATTAAACCCTCCAACGTTTATTTCACACCAATAGTTGGCTACTTGTGTGTTTAAAAAGGCAAATTTTTTTTACTTCCGGCTGTCTATAACCTCCCTCTACTCCTCTGTACCCTTGCAAATGAATTCATCTAAATTGGTATCCCTCACTATGGTCTCAGGAAATGACGCTTGAGCTTCAAAACACTAAAAGTATGGAGACGGTGGTGTAGCCACACCTATAAATCCTTCTACGCCTTCCAGCTGCAGAGAGCCATGCGGAGAAAATGAATTTTATTGTGAGCAACTGAAATCGCTCTTCCTCTAGTGTCCTCGCGCTACATTTACTGAGTCCTTGCATAATTTTTCCCCTTAAAAATGTTAAATTTAACCCTCACTTTGTACAGGCAAAGTTGTGAGAGGAAGTTCTTCTGAAAGGCTTAAGGTAGATAGATGTGTTTACTTTGTTGATGCCTTAGTGACCATTTAGTCCCACATTTTAATGGCATTATGGTCTCCTTCCCGAGTAACAAACCTCTTCCCTAAAGTCTTCGAACGCATGTTGAAAGCAACCTTGTACAATAGACGGTGATAGGGAAGGTTAAGAACCAGTCTTGTCAAGTACTTCGCGGCACGCCAAGACGAGGTGATGTCACCTGGACAAATGAGGTGGATATGGAGAATGGGTGTGGGACTGCATCTCCGATTTGTTGACAACAATACATGAGGAAATCCAGCTATAGCATGGCATGACAACCCTCATCCCGCCTACAATAACGGTTTCTTTTGCCTGATACACTGAGATACGATCTCTTGGATTTTTACCCTGTTTTGCGTTTAAGCTTGAATCCTGTCGGATTTTTACAACCACGCTGAACAGGACACACTGACCTAAACACGGTCGTCTTTATTATGGTCTCCTTCCCAAGTAACAAACCTCTTCCTTAAAGTTTTCGAACGCATGTTGAAAACAACTTTGTACAATAGACGGTGATAGGGAAGGTTAAGAACCAGTTTTCCCTTGGGGATGCCTCTCCATAGGATGACTGCTAAATTTGGCTCTTCCTCACAAAGAAGGCTTGCAGGAGGTTCATTCATTCCCTTAGGAGAGACGACTGTATTCCGTTGTTTTTGCAATTCAACGGTCATTCACAGCCTCCACCTATTCACTGTGATGTGGCTTCACACACTTAACTAGGCAGTACAGATGAATCCCTTTAGGTCCGTCCGAAAAAGTAAGGAGCTGAAAAGTCTTCGTTTCTTCATCGCACCTCACTAGGTGAATCACCCGCGTCTGCTTCCTTTCGATGTAATTTCACTAATGTATTGCAATGCAGACGCCACTGGAGTCCTTTTAGGGCTTGTGTTGACTGTCTGGGACTAAAAGACACAAACGGTGAATTCAATATACAGAAATGTGTAAATGATTTCCCACAAAGAGGGGATGAAATGGTCAGACGACTGATATTAGTAGGCCAAACAACAGAGGTAGAAAAATATTTTTTAATGTATTATTGACTCGGAGTAACTAGATGGCTGTCTTTTTTAATGAAAAGAAAATAAACTGACCTTGATAGTACTGGAAGTAGTGAGAATGTTCG